CATATACTTAAATACAAACACTTCTTTGTCCTGATACCTACACATTCCTATGCAAACCATTGCGATGACTGGTAACGAGAGCTTGCTATGAGGTGGACGTACGATGACGTAATTTGTTTTGATCAAGAACATGAAATTCTTGGAAATTCAAGCAATAAACAAACAAATGTCAAAATTGGCAAGATTCTATCGCTTTGGAAGATATCTGAGAATTTGATGAGAATCTCTTGATGGTTTTCAAGTTGTTTTCACATTGTGAAATTTGAGAGTAAATGTACTGTTGGTTGGCAAGATGTTGCCAACCAACATACATTTACTGCAAGATTTAGCAACTTTAATTTATTATATGTCCTGAACTAATGAAGCAACTGYTCTCAAATTGATAAATATTATCAACAGTTATGACTTCYTTATATTTCTTAAGTGCAAYCGTTTATGGCTCAAAAGTTGATTTTTGGAAATGTAAACAGTACGCCCACCTATAGACTGTCTTCCTGATCGCGATACATACTGAACTGGAAGAGGAATATTGGTTTCCATTTTCTCCTCACTGTCGACTAGTGCCATTACCTCATCATCGTCTTCACTATCATCATCACTTTCATCATCACAATCACTTTCGTCTTCATCTTCGTCATCATCATTGTCATAATCATGCACTTCAGAATCAATATCAGCATCCTGTGTGTCTTCTCTGCACAAATTAATGTGTGCCATAGTACGCATGATTTTGTCTTTCTTTTTTTCCATTTAGAGGTAAATTGTGGTGTCGAAGATATTTAAGAAGCTCCTCTACTAATAATTTATTGAGGCTATAATATGAAATGGCTAGTTGCCTCCAGTCATAGTCATCATAATCTTTTGCTTTTCTTGCTGACTGGTCTATTTTACGTTGATTCTGTCGGATGTTCTTGCTCAGTGCGTTCCAATGTTAACAAATGCTGTAGCAATCCACGGACATGGCATTCATCAACATTAAATTTTCTACAAAACTTGTCAATGCTTTCTTTCTTTGTCACATTTACTCCGACGAAGGACTAACGTCCGAAACGTCAGTTTCTAAACATCACAAACCATACGGTGTATTAAGTTAAATCAATTCTCCTACTTGTTGATTTAGGTCTAGTATTGTTTCATCAGAGAATTGCTGTTTTAATTGAGCTCGCGGCAAGAAATCGTCAACATCCCGTGGAATGGTGGCCCTGTCATCTTTGTATAGTAAAGTACTGAAAACGTCTTTATAATGATAGGCTGGCAATCTTGAGTAATCAGGGTAAGGTGCTGGGATACCTATGGTTGAGTTATCCAGTCATGTTGCATGCAGTAGCCACATTTTTTGCCCTGTTTCAATAGCACAACATATTCGATCTCAAGCAAAGACAAAATAGAAAAATTGATTACCCACATTTCCAGTGGAGAGATACAGTAGTACTTTTTCCAAGTCAACTTGGCAGATGTCCTCAAAAGAAGATATCCATATGCAAGCATTGCAATTCCTCAAGCCCAAATTTCATTTGAAAGCACTTAAACATCTTAGGGATTTGGATTTGTTTTGTGATGAAGCTCTCCAACATGTTGAGTTTGTAATACATGGACTCGAAGGAAAGTTTAATCCCAATATTGATGATGACGATGATGATGATAATGATGATGACAATAGTGATAAAATTGAAGAAGATGATGATGATTACAAATGTTATTTATATAGTAGTGTACAATTATCCTGTTCATTAAATTTCTTGTTGAGTTTTATATGTTAGTAATAGTCATTTGTTATTGACAGAAAAATTAGCATCCCCCTACCATTACAAAAATAATTTAACATTCCCGCTTGAACACCTGAAAAATTTTATGGTCCCCCCCCCCCAATTTTCCTTTGCCCCACCCTGCGGTATACATAATGAACACAGCCTAAAATAAGGAACATTACGATTATAATTTTTTATAAATTGTAAATATGGCACTAATCAATTAAAAACCATCAAAACCTTCAACCTTCCTGCAAGGCCGATCAAGGCTACTCATTCAGGTMAAGACAAAAGGCCAATTTCTAYACTTTTATTCTATAAACGCATTTCATGTTCTTTATGTCTTTTATTGTGAACTAATGACTGGGTGACCTGGTTCTCAGCCATTATGAGAACAGCATATGCTGAAAATCTTTTTCCTTCAAAAAAATCTATTACTTAATTCTTTAGAGCGGATGCAATTAAACCCTGAAATAAAAACAAACTAAATACTGATAAATAGTATCTATTTAGTGACTAATAGTCACTATTACTCAACCAGRACATCTATTAAACAAAAGATTTGTCTTTGTATGATGAATGTTTAGGAGTTAATTACCATTGAATATCTCATTGTTTTGTTCAAGAAGTCTTAAAACCTCATCCTCATCGTGTTGTTTTGGCTTCGGCGGCTCCTCAACAACATTATTCTTATGAAACTCCACCCCTGAGAAAACACTAAGYGATCTGTAATGCCGACCAAACAACAGGATTGCAGCAAAGTTCAATATGCCAAGAAAACTCAAAGCAAATATACAGTACATTAAAGAACAAGGTCCAATGGTATCRAAAGTGTTCCCTACGGCAATAGGAATGGTCATCTCACCTAAACATGCTCCAACGAGAAGTAACGATGCCACTCGACCTGACACTTCAACAAAGTACTCTGCCCAACTCAAGGCTGATGGAAATACTGATGCAGCTGAGATTCCTAGGATGATTGTTCCAGCCCAAAGTTTTGGGCCAGAGTTTGCATYACATCCGTACTGGGTTTGAGAAATCAARATCACTCCTGCCAACAAGCAACCTATGAAATCTGCTAAAATCATCTTTGGTGGTTTGATGTATTTGGCTAACTGCACGGATATAAGTCTTCCCAGTGCAAATGTTCCCCAGTATGTGGCAGTTAGAAGGGAAGCCATGTGTTTGCTCATGTGAGGTTTGGTCTTCACAGCGTACATAAAWACGTATCCACCATATACAATCTCCATGCCGACATATTGAAGAAGCAGAATGAAAAAGAGGAACAGAACRATTGCCTTRAATAATAGACTGTTTGGATGATTCACTGTGGAGTGGTGTTCTTCCTTTTTGACAACTGTTTCCTTAAGACCTTTCAAGAAAGCACAKGCTAGGAAAAACAGCCCAGAAGMGATGAGAGGRAYRCTGCCGATCCAGTAGGCCCATGTTATTGGTAGTATATCACCAGGTTCATAACYTCCTGTCRCGTTTCTGTTGTCTGTATGGTTTGGTGGGGGGTTGGTCAGAGCGTCAGGCAGGAGGAATGGYTGWGATAGCAGAGGAGCAAGAAATGAGCCCAARGCAAAGGTGAAGTGAAGGAACTGCAAGTAGGGCTGGGATTTCTTGGGCCATAAGACAAAGGAAATGGCRTTGCCAGCTTAAAAATAGAATAACAAAATCAATGAGATTAATCCATGAGTTTCATGTATTAGGGTTCAATTTGTAATTATGCTGCTGGACTTATATTGCCAGAAAATATTTACGTCTCCTAAAGAGAGTAAATAATATCAGACTTTTGACTGAACRCTCAACATAAATATGTCCATCCCAAGCCATTGAAACTCCCATCTCTCTCCATGGTGAAGGTGTGGATGGTTTGTGGAACTACAAAATACACTATTCAGAGTTTCTCCACCCTTTGGAAATTCTAATCAGGCGCTACACTGCCTACTGAACCCTCCTACTCAGACCACAGGAAAAAAAACCAAATTCCCAAATTGGGGATTTGTTGGGAATTTTCTTGAATTCCCAACAAATTCCCATCCAATTCCCAGAAAGAATGAAATTGGGAACGTGGCACTTATTCCCAATGTTAGTTTGTTGGGAATTTTGTTTTTCTATTGGGTATTAGAAGGAAATTTCCAACAATAAATCCCAACGTTGGTGTTCGAATTGGAAATTCAAGGAAATTCCCAACAATTCCCAATTTTGGAATCCGTTTTTTTTCCCCTGTGGCATGTGTCACCATGTGCATCTGCACGTCACCACACAACACATTTTTTTATCCTGGGGAGAGAAATGGCAAGTGTAGAGGCTACTATAGCCTGCGTGCAGCCAGACTTTTCTCTCGTATAGTTCGCAGACGTACTTAGCAGTTAGTTCGGCTGCACGCAGGCTAAGGTTACTAATACCTGATACTTAAACAAAGGAAAAGAATGWTGTAGTGCATTTCAATTTGATTTTTTTACTTCATGGTTTTCATTTTGTGGAACATTTTCATCTCGAATAAAAAAAAAAGATGATCTCYCCCCGATTATATTATCACATTTCAGTTTTATCCACATTGGGTTCCCTGTGCCCATTGTGAGCTCCGCTTTTAGGCAGTGCCTGAATTTATATATTACCTGTTACTTAAACGAGTAGTAGGAGTGGTGGGAGAGGTATTGATTTTTTTAAAACCTATAAATTTGAAATATGGGCTTTCTTTATTAAAAGATTGAAAAAAAAAGGGATTTAACATTTGGCATTTAAATTCTACAGAGTGGCTCTTCATCCACTGAATTCAAATTGGAATTTAGAATTTCAGCAGGAAAAAAAAAACCAAAAAAACAAAACTGAAGAATTAGATGCTTTTTTTATTGTTTCCCGTTGTATATTGATGAAAGAAACTCAATTAGCCCCCCTAAACTCAATTAGCCCCCCCCCCCTAAAATGTTGGCTGGATTCACCCTTAGTAGTATACAGCAGATAACCAACAAGCAACTCTACTCACATTATGACACATTTTATGAATTGAACCAGGTTGCCTTGGTGAGAGGCAAATGCTCACACCTCTMTGCCACCCATGTTGCCCATTCCCATAAAGATATGAAGTGACAAAACTTTCTATTACCTGTATCTAGAGAACCTGCACAAATAGTCATTGCAGAAGCAATCATAATCAATGCGTAAATGCTTCCAACCAAAGGAAACACAATCATAGCCAATGCACAGCCAAGACAGGAACATCCAAGGACTAAATAACTATCGTATTTATCATAGGTCCAGCCACCKGCGATACTYCCTACTAAATACCCAATAGATCGTGCCGTAAATACRAAGGACATATACGGAAGCTTGGTGCTGGTGTGGAATGCCAGGTCCAGGATTGCTGTTCCATATATCGCATTAGATATACCCTAAAGATGACAAAATTAAAAACAATTATCTATTTTTCATAGACTTGATCCAAGCTGTCGATCTCCCTTAGTTAAGTCTTCTGCTGGAATTGAATACTACTAAATCATAAATAATAATACCAATATTGATATCTTTAGTCTATTATAGTACACTCTACAAAATTACTCGACTCTGATTGGTCGAGAGGAGTACAATTATAGCGYTAATTGTACTCCGTAGGAGTACCGAATTAAGTCGCTATGGCAACATGGCCAAAACAATATCAAAACAATTATTTTCTATCATTTTGTACTTAAAAAGCATAAATAAAATTTTAAAGCCGTAAGAACTAATCTTTTTAATGCATTTCAGTTGCATGATGGACTGGAAATCGGC